TCTGACAGTGGCCCATATAGAGCTTCAGGGGGAGTTTATAAAACAGGACAATTATGGAGCGATTCACCTGTCTTTCACTACCAGCTTCTGGTAGTCGGAGGTTTAGGGTCACCCCGAGCCCCATGCTGTCCTTAGCCATCTTGGCTAATAGCCATGGATGGACCTATCCTCCATGAACTTATCTAGTTCTTTTTTGAACCTAGTTATATTTTTGGCCTTCACAATATCCCATGGCAATGAGTTCCACAGGTTAGTTGTGCACTGTGTGAAAAAGTACTTTCTCTTGTTTGCATTAAACCTGCTGCCTATTAATTTCATCAGGTGACTCCTGATTTTTATATTGTGGGAAAGGGTAAATAACACTTTCCCCCCACACACCATTTATGATATTATAGCCCTCGATCATATCATCCCTTAATCGTCTCTTTTCTAAGGTGAACCACCATAATTTTTTTAGTCTCTCCTTGTATGAAAGCCGTTCCATATCCTTGGTCACCTTTGTTACTCTTCTCTGAACCTTCTCCCGTTCCACTATATCCTTTCTGATATGGGATGACCAGGACTGGACACTGTATTCATGATGTGGGTGCACCATGGATTTATATAGTGGCGTGATGATGTTTTCTGTCTTATTTTCTATCCTAATCGTTTCTAACATGCTGTTAACCTTTTTGACTGCTGCCGCGCATTCAGTGGGAAGTTTTCAGAGGACTATCCATGGTGACTCCAAGATCTCTTTCTTGGATGGTAATAGCTAATTTAGAGACCATCATTCTATATGTATAGTTGGGATGATTTTTCCAATGTGCATTACTTTGCACTTATCTATGTTTAATTTCATCTGCCATTTTGTTGCCCGGTCATCACTTTTGAGAGATCCCGCTGTAACTCCTCGCAGTCTGCTTTGGACTACCTTGAATCATTTTGTATAGATTGCAAACTTTGCCACTACACTGTTCACCGCCTCTTCCAGATCATTCATGAATATATTGAACAGTGCAGATCCTTGAGGGGGACCCTGCCGTTCTTCTGATCATGTATTCCTACCTTTGTTTCCTCTCTTTCAACCAGTTACTGATCCATGAGAGGATCATCCCTCTTATCCCATAGTTACTTAGTTTCCTTCAGAGTCTTTGATGAGGGACCTTGTCAAAGCCTTTTTGAAAGTCCAAGTACACTATATCAACTGGATCACTCTTATCCACATGCTTGTTGATTCCCTCAAAGAATTCTTATAGACTGGGGAGCAGGGGCGGCTCTAGCTTTTTTGCGGCCCCAAGGACGGCAGGCAGGCTGCCTTCGGCGGCATGCCTGCGGGAGGTCCACCCGTCCTGCGGCTTCGGCGTACCCGCCGCTGAATTGCCGCTGAATCCGCAGGACCGGCGGACCTCCTGCAGGCATGCCGCCGAAGGCTGCCTGACTGCCCCCCTCGCAGGGACCGGCAGGCCGCCCCCCGCGGCTTGCCGCCCCAGGCACGCGCTTGGAGCGCTGGTGCCTGGAGCCACCGCTGCTGGTGAGGCATGATTTCCCTTTACTAAAGCTGTGTGATTCTTCCCCAACATATCATGTTTATCTATGTGTCTGATCATTCCTTTATTTACTATAGTTTCTAGCAGTTTGCCCAGTACTGAAGTTAGGCTTACCATCCTGTAGCTGCCAGGATCTCGTCTCGAGCCCTTTTTAAAAAACAGCATTACATTAGCTATCTTCCAGTCATTTGGTACAGAGGCTGATTTCAGTGATAGGTTACATACCGCAGTTAGTAGTTCTGCAATTTCATATTTGAGTTCCTTCAGAACACCGAATTTATCTGGCATGATTTGTTCGTTAGAAACCCGTTTCGTTATCCTCCAGATGTGCTTGCAGATTTTTTTCTCTTAATATTTGGTCCATGATAGTTTGAAATTAGTCTTAAAAGATGGTAATTGCCAGGATCATTCTGTTTTCCTATTTTGAAGAGTGGTACCACAATTGTTTTTCTCCAACACCCTGTTACCTCCTCAGTTCCCTGCTTCAGAGAAAAGTGCAAGAATCCAGAAGTGGGAAGTTAAGGATTAACCTGTCCATGAAGGAAGTTTCTTCCTAACTCTCTCAGTTAGAGGTGTGAAGATGTGCGTACGTGTTTGTGCGACAATGCGGGGAGTGCAACTGCATGTGCTTGTGGTAGGGCATGTGAGTATGTTCATATGTGTTGAACATGTGAACAATTTAAAGCATGTTTTCTCATTCCTTAGAGATGGGCCAAAACCTCAGATCCCAACATTTCCCCCACAAGTCTGGCTCTGAATCCAGATTTTATGGCTCCGGTCAGAACTCTGGATCCCAATACTCCTGAACTTTGGAATCCCAAACTTAGTGGACATAGCTTTTCCTGAGTTTACTGAGCCCAAGTGTCTGAGGTGCCTGACTCCACCTTCGTATGTTGTGGGTTGTTGACCTTATTTTGGGGATCACAAGTTGTACTTTGTTTATCAGCAGTGGACGCAGCAGGGAATGGCCTGGACCTGCTGGTGTTTCCCCACACCACACTCTGGTTTGCACGTGGCCACGAGGGCCTTTCTGATTTTGGGGCAAAACAAGCATTTTTTTGGAGTGTACCCTTCCTGATGAAAAAATAAAATGATGTACATTTATTTTAAAAAGACACACCCTATGGAACACTGAGGCTGAAGTGCTGCTTTCTTATTGGTTACTGAACCTGTCAGTGATTCCTAGGGAGAGACGAATACTGTTAACAGAACCCTGTATCCACGGTAACATGTGACTGAAACTTTCCAGCAGAAGGTAATTTCTTTGATTTTTATTTTTTATCATTTGATTTATTTCCCTGGAATGACCATTGGCACTGGCACTCAGTGACTGGCAGGGAGGGAGGATGGTCAGGGATCAAGTCTGGCACCTGGAAGACCCGAGTTCAATTCCCTGCCCATGTGGGACCTGGGGTGTTGTCTCTTAGGTGCCTAAGTCCCAGGTTTAGGCTCCACCGTGCGCTGCCCTCACCTGCAGGCACCGCCCCCTGCTGCTCCCATTGGCCGTGAATGGGGAACCGCGGCCAATGGGAGCTTCGGGGGTGGTACCCACAGGCGAGGGCAGCATGCAGCGGAGCCACCTGC